GAAAATTCTACTGCAAAAGATGTGAATGCACGGCCGATTGTAGTGGAATGTAGCTAGCCTATACGAAAATAACTTCAAACTTGGCACATGGGTTGCTCTCTATGTGATTTCTGAAATCAGAATCCCCTTTGAATCTGAATGTATACAAAGCTTGCCTCTGTGTCAATCCAATGGGGTAGATTCTGTAAATTTTGAGCTCATCTCCTCCTCGTATGCTTTCGGGCCTCTCGTATTTCCAAATAGGTGTGTGTTTCAGTGACTTAAACTTCAAAAGAACAGCAGAATTTAAAGCCTCCATTGTCAAGTTTCCTGACCTGCCCGGAAATATCAGAAACAAAAAATTCTGATTAGTGAAGATCTCGAAACAAGAATGAAGACAAAACAATTTCATAATTCACTTGCAATACATGGAATGCGTCGTGTTAAGAGTATGTTTGGCTAAGCTTTAGAAATATACTTACAAGGAAGTAAGTTTTAAACTTAAATCACTATCTTATTGTTCAAGGTTGAAAATAAGTAGGTCATTACTTAAATTGACACTAAGGTAAGACTTCTTTCAAAATAAGTAACCATTTCCACTTAAAAAGTAAAGAATGAAAAAATGTTGGGATCAGAAAGTAACTTGCAAAAACTCAACTTTAGAAGTTCTTTCTGTTCCCAATTTTTACCATCCTATGTTGAATAGTGAATACAAACAATAACCCACTCCCTCCTACTTTTTGTCAAAACTACCCGAAGAAAGGGATTAAGATGACAACCTCAAAAGAAACAACATATATCATCATGATACAAATCTGAGTTGTAAGATTCATCAAATTCCACTAAAATGCTAGTTGTAAGGTTGCACAAATCCAGTTCAATTTTTTTCAAAATATATTGCACAGCAATTTTGAATCTAAAAATCTATTTCAACAGATAAGTTTAGCAATAATAAAAATGTTGACAAGGTCTAAGAAAATTCTTGCTGCTATGCCACACAAGCTGATTTATATCTGTAAGACAAAGAAAACAAGTGATTAAATGCTTTTGCGCTGAATAAAATTTCCACATGACGATAATCAATGTGATTTTATTGGCATAGACAATAGCCAAAAGGCAAAACTCTATTGTCTCTGAAGAGATTCTCATGCACACGTCATTGAAATTCACAGTGAAAACTCAGCCAAAATTGCACATTTGTGAATATATATCCAGAAATATAGGCAGTACATGTATTACCTTAAGAAAACTGATTCCATCTCAAACCTTCCCCTTTCCCGTGCATATATGTGATATAAAGTTTTTAAACCTCTGGTACACTTGCAGGGTCGCTTTTTAAACTCAGGAGTCTTCTCATCTTTCTCTAGGATCCTTGTTGCCAAGTAAATACACAGACGGCATGATGAGTGAACTGCTGCCATATCAACAAGAGCCTTGAATGAATCAGACGGTCCTTCAAACTTCCACCTAAATAATAAGAACCCATTTGTGATCCAGTCCCTTTGAAAGTAAAAAGCTTCTTAAATATGTTCCGAGGAAAATATTTATATATTGATAGATCATGATTTGTAAAGATAAGCAAAAAACTTGAAAATGTTACTAAAATAAAAGAATAAAGAATAACTAATCTAAAATCCACAGAACTCACTACATAGAAGTTTATCATTTCATGCGTGGAATTCAAGGCTCACCGTAATGACTCATTATATGCGCTGGAATTCTTGGCAAGGTATTTTATTTTCCTCACAATTGAATCAACATCTTTGAGCTCCCTGATATGCAATATTGAGCCAGAAAAGGGAGAAAAATCTTGTATGTTAGGGGCACCAACAACCACAGGAACAGAGCCTACAATATTAATACAGTGCACTATATCAGAATTTCTTCATCCTAAATTGTCCATTTGTCCTACTACTCTTATACTTGAGAAATTTTCCCAACCAATCTTGAAATTTTACGTGTATACATTCATATGTCGCAAAATAGCTTCTGCCGAAAATTTCCCTATCTTGGCCCAATTCTTAATTTAAAGAGGACAAGTATAAATGTTGTGAAAATCAGCTTTGAGCTGAATGACCCCGGGAGAGGAGAAAAATAGCTCTGATAAGTCGGTCTTGAATTACAAATTATAAAAAAAAGCATGGAATGAGAAGCAATTAAGCATAATACCAGCAACAAGAGACTGGAAGAATTTTTCAGTGACATAATCCTCCTCGTTGGAATTCTCAAATGCCAGGCTGAATTTGTATCGCTTCAAAGTTGCCACTTTGTCCACTGCAAATATTTTCACAAGATCAAGAATTCTGTATGGAATATAGAAGAGGTGCAGCAAACATCATGAAACGTTATATGCTACATCAAGAAGTTGCTTACAATTCATTTGTCACATATTTGGTGTTATTATACCGTTGCATCATTACTTGAAGTTTTAAGCACCGGCTATTTTACAACTTCTTCAATCAGTCCCTTTTAACACTTCTTCGCAACAAAAACAGCATTTGTAGCAAAAACTTTAAACAAAGATTGCTATTCTATATTCTCATTTGACTCAATGTCCAAAAGTTAACCAAGTTCCAAAAGAACATTTCTAGACTGCACTAAACATGAAATGCAATTTCTAGAACTAAGTCGAGATTGCTAATATTGTCCATTACGTCAGTCAACGAGCATACAAACATGGGTGTTCCATGCGACATATTACTCTGCCAAAGGCAAAATCTCTACATGCAATAAAAATTCTCAGTTACTTTTGCTTCATCTACACTTTGCCATACAATGAAATTCATTGAATGCTGGACCAAATACTCAATACACTTACCATTACCATCACGATTTCGATGGCAACTGCCATAAGAATCAATTTTGATGTTTGCCTTTTCAAGGGCTTCCAAAGCTTGCAAGCGAAAGTTTCGAGCACCACAATTAGAAATGAAAGCAGCTGCAAGAGCACTTTCAGTTTTGGGTTGCAATGGAGCCATTATATCATACTCGGCCCAAGAGAAATAGCCCACAGGAACGTCGGATGAAAGACTAGTTGTCATGACAATGTGATATCCCCTCCTAATTCATAAGAAACTTTATCATAAATATATTATAATAATTTCTTATGAGGAAATATTCAAGGGTTATACAATAATTACAGAGTTAAAAATTGTAAAGGAATGTTCAGATGACGAATAAGCCTCAAAATAGATAGCACCATCTCACAACTGCCAGCCTCAAGATGTTGCAGGAGAAGGAGAGCAAAAACAAGGAGAGTGTATCGTGCAAGAAATGATTTTAACCTATTTATAACCATCATAGTTTGAAGACCAATGCTTGACATCTAGAGACTAATAATACAAGTACCAATTTAATAGAAATACGGCTTGACTTAACATGTCTAGGAAGTAATTAATGCTCTAATTGTGCTCACCCAGTAAGGTTAAAATTGATTTCCCCATGCTAATTTTCATCTTATCTATCCCTTTTTATCTGTTTTCTTCTGGTCTGGACTATAAAAACGGCAATTGAATTGAAAAACTTCTTTTTTGTATGTTTGGATGTTGATATCAGAAATTCTTACCTACAAGCAGAAATGCTCCCTTTAACTAGAAAATACTCAATTAATACATTTCCAGACGATCATACTTAATGCTCTAATTGTGCTCACCCAGTAAGGTTAAAATTGATTTCCCCATGCTAATTTTCATCTTATCTATCCCTTTTTATCTGTTTTCTTCTGGTCTGGACTATAAAAACGGCAATTGAATTGAAAAACTTCTTTTTTGTATGTTTGGATGTTGATATCAGAAATTCTTACCTACAAGCAGAAATGCTCCCTTTAACTAGAAAATACTCAATTAATACATTTCCAGACGATCATACTTGTTCGAAAATTGTAAGGTTGACAACCACATAATTAAGTTTGAAGAAGCAAGAAGCCACAACCGAGTGTGCTTACCCACCGTCGTGCCAAATCAATGTTATTTTCAGCATAATATTGAGCCGACTCCATTGAACGCAAAACACCAGCCGTGCCATCTTGTTGAGACAACCCAAATGCAGCATCAGGCCTCTTACCCGAATCAAATCCAAACTTACAGCCCACAGCACAGGTTTTGAACTCCTTACGTAATAATAAAAGGTCAACCATTAATATGCAAACAAAAATAATAAAAAAAATATATGGATAAAAAATACATTGCTTCCAAACTTAAAGCCCAAGATCAATGTTAATCTAAGAAACCAGGCCTGGAATTTCTCTTTAGAAATGACTCTATTCAAATTTGAACTGTTCTTTTACGAATCTCAATATCAAGACCTCAATTTTATACAATCAAACACAGTGCTAAAGAATTTATTTTGCCTCAATGTTTAACTGCACTATAATCATAACTATGACATTAATGCAAAAGGATTTTGTATACTAATTTCAACCATACAGATGGGATTTTATACGTGTTTTTCGTTTTCCATCTAAGACTAACTCTAAGGGTCCGTTTGATTGTAAGGATAGAGTTTGTGTGGAAAGAAAATGAATTTCAGAGAATTGAATTGTCTAGAACTTTTTTTACGAGAATTGTTAATTAAATATATTTGATTGGTATAATTTTCCACCTAGAAAATATTAAAATTTTGGATCTTTTGGCATTCGTTTGGTCTTGTTTGCCATGAAAATTGTTAATTAGAGGGATAAATTTTTTTACAATTGTAGATAGATTTTGTTCTCATTGCTGAAAATTATAAAAAGAAGAAGTTGGAAATCATTTTCTCACCAAAACCGAAGGAATTGGTTTTCCTTAAAATGCTAGAAAAGAGGGTCATGTGGGGTGGGAAATGGAAAACCAATTCCATGGAATTTGTTTGCGATCAAACACCCAATTTTGGATGGAAATGAAAAATGTTTTCCATTTTCCCTGGCAAAGAGGGTTATCAGACATGGCCTAATTATTAATGTTTATATACAGCTGCAACCAAATTTTGCTTTCTTATAAATGACCAAAATAATAACTTCTATTGCCAAAAGAATAAGAACATAACGTAGGAATTTGGGCAAAAACAAACATCCTTCTTCAATTGCCATCTCGTACTATTCTAGGATTCTAGATTACATGCTAAAACCATCCACCCATAAATTCCAAGAATTGCTGAAAAAGAATCTACAATATCAAACACAATTCCATAAACCTTATAACTATTGAGGCTCGGGGCTCCATCTTAAAGGTCAAACAAGTAGCCCAAGCTCACAGTTCAGCTTTTCAGATACCATACTGAGCCTTCCATCTTCAAAGGCCATAAATTTACTATTGTTCTCGTACTTAAACGTCTTGGGATTTTAAAAACAATATATGCAAAAGAACCTCATATTTATCTTTTACTGAAATTTAAAGATTGAATTGCAAACCTCGTCAGCTCCATGTACAAAAATGGGGTCTTTCTTGAAATCTCTAGAGTAAGCCACGGAGTCCTCCTTCTCCAACCACGCCTCACAGCTGTCTTCGGGTTCAGACCCTGGATCATCAAGCGCACCACCACCAGTGTAACCTGACCCGACATCATCAGTCAAAGTTGAGGTTGACCAAGAAGAAGACGTAGTTTTTGTAAACCTATAGAACGAGTCGGCCCACGAGTTGACCAGGTCGGCGTTCTTGG